CTGGTTTGGGTCGTTTGACGTCAACGCTGATCAATAAAATGTAAGTGTCACTTCAACAAAACTGAAGCTGGCAACCTGCTGCTTGCCGCACCATTGCGTGGGAGCAGCAAGCTGAGTATTTCTCGAAGCCGAGGGTCTGCCCTGAATGGCAAGTTTCTGCGGTCTGCGCAGTGTGGCCTTGGGGAGTGAGTGTGTCCTCAGCGCCGTCATACCTAGCTGCCTCTCGAGGCTCCGCTGTTAGGTCTTGAAAGAGCTCTTGGACATCTGGTCCGGCGGCAGCTCTCTGAGATCCAGTTTTGGGGGCACGGAAGCCCGGACAATGCCCTCATCGGACACGACAGCTTGGATGCCAACTCCCTGAAGGGTACTCCTGCGTGAGCGGCAAGTAAAAGGGAAGGGGTGGACTCCTCTGCTGACCGCGGTTGGCTTGGCACAGGGTTCACGCGGGGGTGAGCTGCAGGAGGAGCGAGTTGAGGGCGATGGTGTAGTGCTCTTGCATGGCCTTGGGCGGAAGCATCTCGTCCAGGTTGGCAAAGTCGTCCCTGTGCTCGTCAGACCAGCACAGAGCAGAGTCACAGTCAGAAAGAGCAGGGCAGAGCAGTTGCACCGGTGAGGGGAAGTACTACCTGTCCCGGGTCAGCACCATCAGACACAGCAGAGCCAGGTTCACTGGGCTTCGCTTGTCTGGCATTGTTGACCGGGGCGCCGATGCGTTCGGGTCAGAATCGGTTGTTGTGTTGTAACACCAGCGGTCTTGGGTACGTACAGCAGCGTTGGCGCAAGCCATCGATGGGCGACGGTATGGGCTTCTTCCACAGCTTGCCCAGCCGTCGCTCCTCCTCCTTGCTGGGCGCCAATGGCGCTCCGTAGGACAGCAACGCCCCCGCCACGCCAAACAGACCTACAGGTTCGGGGTGGGAGTGTGAGTAGGGGGAGTGAATGCACGGTGGGCCTGTTTAGTAAGGCAGAGGTACCTGCGGTGAGGGCGAGGTGGATGGCCGTGTGGCCCCGGCTGTTGCGCACCCGCATCAGCTTCTGTACAGTCAGCCGCCCGAAGTGCTTCTCCACCTGCTGGACCACCTGCTCCACTCCCTCCTGCCTCTATTGTGTTGTGTGTTGTGTGTTGCGTGGAACCTGAGGCGCGCCTATCGAAAATCAGGGTGTCGTTGCAGCATTGTAGTCTGTACCTGGTCAATGAGGAGGTGGAGGAGGGTGTTGTTGTGCTCGTCGCGGCCCAGCAGGCACGCGGGTT